AACACGACTCAAGAATTATATCTCAGATATTTATTTGCTGGTTTTGAAACTCCATCCATCCATCCATCCATCCATCCATCCATCCATCCATCCATCCATCCATCCATCCATCCATCCATCCATCCATCCATTCATTCATTTTCCGTCACGCTTATCCTTGCCGGGGTTGCGAGGGGTGCTGGTGCCTATCTCCAGCTGTCAATGGGCGAGAGGTGTGGTACACCCTGGACAGGTCGCCAGTCCATCGCAGGGCAACACGGAGACAAACAGGACAAACAACCATTCACACACACACTCACACCTAAGGAGAATTTAGAGAAGCCAATTAAACCTAACAGTCATGTTTTTAGACTGTGGGAGGAGGCCGGAGTACCCGGAGAGAATCGATGCATGCACAGGGAGAACATGCAAACTCCATGCAGAAAGACCCCGGGCCAGGAATTAAACCTGGAACCTTCTTGCTGCAAGGCAGCAGTGCTACCCACTTTTTCCACTGAGCAGACCCGAAACTCTGTCCCAGTATTGCTAAAAGTAGTTTGATCATTCATGAAATGTTTTAACATTTTTGGTAACAGTTATTTATTCTAGAGCTCAAATGAAATTATTGCTCTATCGCAGGAACAGTTCTCTGATTTAAATAAATACTCTAGGAACTTTGCAGGTTTTTTGAGTCATGGAGGTGTTTCCTTGGCAGTGTGTATCCATAATTGTCAGGATAAATAATTAATATTTGAATTTGTCATTAAAAATAAACCCTAGAAATTAGTGCATGGTTATGTGTAGATTTGATTCTAAGATCACTAACCTGTTCAGGGTTTAGCCTACCTCTTTCTAATTGGCATGAGGAATACACTCCACATTTCCCTGAAACCTGAATAAGATTACATCGATGTCTGAAACAAATTATAAGTGAGTCAGGTGCTGTTTATCCTAATTAACCTGTAAGTGATCCTTTAAATGTAATCATCTGTTGTCCATGCTCTGTTTTTGCACGGTGAAGTGTTTGTTCAACGCAGAACCTGCAGGTCTAAATTCATTATCATTCAAATATACACACCACATTAGCTTACTTAAAACATCTAAGTGAAAAAAGAAACCTTTATTCTTATTTTTAATGTTTTTGTTGCCTCGTGCTTTGCTTTTTCAAAGAAGATTAGAATAACACTGAGTCTAAATTCAGGTTGTGTAAAAGAAAAAGCGTTTTTTCAGTCTCAGATTTGACCGATTAAAATGTCAGATGATCACTCCTTACCAATTCAATGGAAAGTCAGTCTTTATTTAACCACTTAAGATGAGCTACAACTGAAGAGCTACAAAAACCCAATTGAAGGTTTTTGTGACTTTGTACCCTGCAGGACGGAGTATGTCTATTGAACAATAGCTTCGTGGTGCCACTGTGTTATGACTTATGATGGTAAATGTGTTGGCACCGGAATTACCCCTGCAGCAGCCAATATACAGTGAGCCAACTTTGCAATTTTCTGAGCAAAGCACCTGCTGGATGCTAATCAGAAAGACTCTTTCTGTGCTCTATATATTGAATTACTGGTTTCCACAGGCAAGATATGTTTTGATGCATGTGGTGTCTCCAAAGTACAAGTACTCCAGGGTTGTTGTTTTTTTTTTGGAGGTCATTAAGATAATCCTGTCTTACGAGACAGCATTTCTCGAGGACAGGCAGACGTGTAATTGCTGGTTGATATACCAAGCATTGTGGATATGACACAATGTAGCGTGTATTTATTGGGTTTAATCTTATGAGCTCATATTATAACATTTTCTGTCAATAAATGCTAAGAAAATTAATTCCAGAGCTTGTTTAGATCTTTACCAAGTAAGACTTTACATTTAATTTACATTTCAACATCCATTTGATGTAGGTGTTCTAACCAGCATTGAGCATGAACAAATGTACCTGGCTGAGTGGCTTGAATAGCATTGACGTTTTGTCCAAATAATCACAGAGCATCTTGACACTTTTTCCATATTTATCTAGGTCAAATCCTTATTCCAAATCTTTTTGCTGAAAATTCTATTCCTCATGTGTAAAAAATGTTTTGTTTTTTTCTTAGATTTTTACAAATTTTATTAAAAACCAAAACTAAGAATTCACACCTATGCAAATATTCACTTCCTTTATTGGCCTTTGAGCTCAAAAGTGAGCTGAGGTGTATACTATTTCCACTGATCATCCTTGAGGTCTTTTTAAAGGTTAAACTGACTCCACCTGTGGTATATTCAGTTAATTGGATGTAATTAGGAGAGACACATACCTTTCTGTATACTGTCTTACTCCCAGATCCCTCATCCTCCCTTCCTGTCCATGTCAGGTCAGTTGCAGACCGGCTCTGCATGTCTGTGAAAAGCAACACCTACTAAATCCATGATACACCATCAAGTTCTGCTCAAAGTTCTGTGAACTTCGAAGAGAGCATGCGTGGGACGCCAAGACGGCCTGAGTGGAACATCAAATGGGAGTTTCTCTGTATTTTGATGGTAAAAGATGGAGGATTAAAAGATAATGTGGATCTGTTCTCATTAAGTAACAGTGGAGCGAACATGGAGAATGTTGAATCTGGGGGTTAAGGCAAGGAGGTGACGTAGAACCCCATAGTCCCTCTGTCAGAGCTCCATTGTTCCTCTGTGGAGAAACGAGAACGTTTTAGAAGGGCACCGATCGCTGCAGCAATCCACCAATCAGGCACATGGCATCCTGTCTGGAGTTTACCAAAAAGGCACAAGAAGTACTCTCAGACAATCAGAGACCAAATTCTGAGCTGATGAGACAAGGACTGAACTCAATGGTGTACAGAGCATCATGTTTAGAAGCCTAAACCATCCTGTGAAGCATAGAGGTGGCAGTGGCATGCTATGGGGATTTTGTTTTTTTTTTAGAACCAGCAGCCTAGTTAGGTAAGAGTGAAAAGTAAATGAAGCAATATGCAGGCATCCTGGATAAAATCCTGCTTAGGGTGCTGGAGTCACAGTTCAGTATTTGCCTCAAGCTGATAGAACTTAAGATGTAAAGAAGAATAGGCCTAACTTCCCAAAGATAGGTGAGCAAAACTTGTGGCACCATACCCAAAAAGACTTGAGGCTCTGATTGCTACCAAACCACTTTTTTGTTTTACACTGTCAGGGTGTTGTGTATAGATTTCTGAGGAGAGAGACTGACCTGATGCTGTGTGGAATAAGAATGTATCATAAATAAATCTGGAAAAAGTGTAGTGCTGTGAATATTTCCTGGAAGGACTGCACACTTAGATAAGGTGGTAATATGCCTTGATGCACATACTACATGATGTTGTAACCAGTATGTTAACTGGCATTTCAAACCATGAACTATTCGTTATTTAAGACTTTATTTTATAAGAAATCATGAAGAATGAAGAATATCTACCTTATCATTTCAGTTAAGTTCCTAATTTTCAGTGCTGAGCTATCAAGAACTTGGTTTGTCATGGGTAAAACTATTTTTGGAAACACTAAAAGGGCATTCTAGTTTTTATAAAATATATTCTTAACTCAGCATTTCTAAGCAGTTCACCTTTTAATTGCAATGTATTTTTAAATCCACCATGAATTTTATGCTTCACCTGGATAACATGTTCAACCAAGTAATAGATAATATATATTTTCATTTTTGTTAAACTTAAAGTAAAAGTAAAAAAAGTAAAAAAAGAAACAATTCCTCTTAGGAATTATGTAAAATGTAAAGCAGAAGTTGTGCTGTCCAAACGATTTAGTTACATTGCTAGTATTTTAACAAGGTCATTCTGTGTTTGGCCACTGGTTCATTCCAAGAGCTATTCCCTTGAGAACAAATGTATGATTCCACAAAAGCAGTAAGAAGTCTTTCAGCTTCCAGATTTGGCTGTTTCATTCAGGAAAAATGTGAGTGCCAGCCAGCACGTCTAATTTGCTCTTTGTCGGGGTTTCTGGTTGTTTAGGAGCCAGGCTGCGGTGACTCATCTTCACTCAGGAGGGGAGATGCCAGACACAGAAGTAGTGTTTGTCAGTGAGAGTGAAAATTACTATCCGCGGGGCCTCTTAGTCGCATATTTTATTTACAAACATTGTCCTATCTACCTAGCAGCCTGTTTTACAGTTAGCTTGGAGGCCATGGGAATGAATATGTATTTGATTTGCAGACCAACTATGTTGTCTCACATTTATGACCAACTTTGATTGGACAAACACAAAATGCACCATGCAAAACACATTAGATTAAATGCACAGTATTATTTTTGCAAACTTCATTCTTTCAAGGTTGATTTTTCACTTTCAATTTATGAAATACCATTTTTAAGAGTAGAATATTACATCATATCCACAAATACAGTGTTTTTTGATACAGGAATGTTGCCTAATTAATAGCATAATTATTAACTGCTTACATTTTTAAGGTGCTTTTAAAAGAGCCTCATTGTAAAGCATTCTATACTAAATGAATACAGCTGTTTGTAAAACATCAAAGGCGTTGGGGGTGGTCAGGAGAATCCATGCTGGACCGATTTTAATGATCATATTTGGTTAGATGGTGCTTAAGCAACTCATGTGGGTTTAACACAGATCCACATGCTATGTGTGCTTCTTTTCCCTAGATAGCAATCACTAAACTGATTCTTGTCTTTAAAATTCCTTTTCCAACATGTATCACTTGCCTAGATAGAGTATTTTAAATGTGGTAAGTGGGGCATCACATTTTAACAAGTCTACCAGGACCTCTGTTTGTAAAGTAACACACTGAATGTGACAAGTTGAGCTGTGTGCTTGAGTGTATTGCAGATTAATTAATGAAATAGTTGTTTGTTTGCTTTATTTACGTGCCCCAACCAGTCACTGTGAACTGAGGGTTGTTGAGCACAATGGGAAATTTCTTTGTGGATGGTGTTTATTTAAATATAAGTTTCTATGGATAGCCTCATAAAAAATTTGATTGTTAGGCATGCTCTTTTTTAAACATACACATTTTTGCTCTATTTTTGTTTTATTATTAGCAATGCCAGTGCCAGACCAGCCAGCAGAGCAGGAGAAGGGGGCTATGGTTGCCCCTGTGATGCCTGCCTCCAATGGAGACAGACCTGAGACGGAGACAGCATCGTCAATCCTGGCATCTGTCAAAGAACAGGTAATAATCTAGCTATACACACACACATGCTTACATATTTTCCCTCTTGGTTTCTTTTGCACTTGGTCATCTGCTCTCACCTCACAGCATTTAACAGCTTGCTAGGAGAAAGGACAGAAGGCTGTCACTGTTATTAAGAGCAACAGACAGTGTGTGGCTTTAAAACCAGAAAAGAACCCAGAGATTGATTGGTGCCTGGGGACTGGGAATGTAATTGAAGGAAATGATGGAGATTATGAGGTGGGAGCTGTATTTAGGATAGTCATCATTCAAAGGACAATTTAAATCAAGGTGGTTGCTTTATGGTTGTTGGAAGTTGACTGTACTGCTGAGAAAAGACCAGGTCGTTGCAGGAAAAATAAGTAGCTTTGCCGATTCATGTCATGTTATGATGAACTACCATGCAATTCAGAGAAAAAAAATAAGTTATGCTATGTAACTGCAATTTTCTGCTGTTATTACTCTGATGTGTTGGGTCATTACGGTGGATAAATGTAGTGTTTTAACATGAAATTGTAATGAGAAATACAATCTGTTATAGAATGGAGATGAGATTTCATTCTATCCTGACATTTCAACGCCTTACCTGAAAGCATGAGGCTGGGATAAAGACCTCAGAACCCAGAACCTTCCTACTTTGTATGACAAGTTACTTGTGGAGCCATGCTAGCTTTTATTCATGCTGCTTTTATATTTGTAACCTCAAAGTGCAGAGGCAACCCAGCTGATCTCACAATACATCAAATGGCAACGCCTGAGTTGTTCTAAAATTTGCACTCCAGAAAGAGGGAAGAAAATCACCTACCATGTTGCAATTTTCTTTTTCCTTTAGATACACTGCCTATGAGTACAGAAATATAATCATCAGAGTTTAAACTACTATGATAAATTTAATTTACAGAAACAGCAATACTTGTTATTTGTGCCCAAATATACAGTTATGTTTATGTTTTTTTTTTTTTGTATTTGTTCATTTCCCTAATGGAAAAGTGCTAATATAATAGCCCTTAATAAAATGCGGAAGCTTTATTTATTTTTAACTTAGCATCTCTTTCTGTCTTAGCACCCTACTACATCATTAATGCTTGAACGGTCATTTTAATACTGATACCCTTTGAAACTACCAAAAATCCAGTTGAAATCAAAATGCTTACATCCATGAAAGATTTTTTTTTTAAATTACCCTTTAAAATAATTTGTCATTAACCAGCAGCTCTCGCTTACCCGATCATTATTGTTTTGGGTTGCATTTTATGTTCTTCAATCAAGGGAAGATTCTACAGTAAACATCTGAAGATCTTTTTAATGATGTATTTTCTCCCTAAAAAAACAACAAAAGAAGTGAAAACAAAAAAAAAATAGGAACACAACAGCATGGAAAAAAGTGTGAAACACAGTTTTAAATGAATTTATTTAACTTAGAACATACATTATAGTCATAACATATCAATATAAAGGTGACATCATAATCAATGAATGTATTTTGCTTAAAGGTCGTATATCATGCTTTTCTAAGCCTTTCTAACAGCCTTTTAACTATAGGGATGAATAGGATGTGATAATCCCTTTAGTATTATGTGGGTATTAATTTGTTACGAAATAAGAGTTCTTTTCTTACAAAAAAGGTTCAAAAATCCCGCACATCCTGAGATAGTTAAGACTTAGTGCCAGACTATGAAGGCAACATAGATAAGACAAAGATGGATCCGCACACTAGCTGTAGCTCCCAAATTGGTTTATTCTGCAAATAGTGGTGTTTTTGGCCACACTACTTTCTTTAGATTCATGATGTAATAATTCCTTTAGCACTATGTGGGTAATAATTTGTTATGAAATATGAGTTTTCTTTATCCAGCCATAAGAAAAACACTCCTTTATAGTATGTGCTGCTGACCATTGCATGACGCCTCTTTATCATGGCGCATCTGAAGCCTGAACAAATACCTAGATTCTTCTCTCACTTTGAATCCAAAATGTGTGGGTCGATCCTGAGAAGAGGGGACTTGTTGAAGAATGGACTGGTAGACATACTTAGGACCCGGAAGAGCAACGGAGCGGACTGTCACTTGGATTTCCATGAGGGACTTGAACGGCCTATGTGGAGGTTTCTCCCCTGCTCAGTGTGAACTCTGTAAACAATCCTTCCAGGGGAAGAAGGCCAAACATCCAGTACGCAGGAGGACTTCCTGCCAAAGGCAAAGACAAAAACTAGGTTAGGCTCAGTTAAACAAAGACTCAGGTTAGACTCTGCTAATCTAAGCATGGCTAGAGTACCCAAAAACTGGCAAACACTCTGGCGTCGAGGTAGGGACAGTCCATTGCTTAAGTAGTCCTACAGATAATGATCCAAAGAGCCGCAGGAGTGCATATATGTAATGATAGATATGATATTAGATAAGATATTATTACTATATTTACATTATTTATGGAAACCCGGATGTATATCTGGTTGCGCATGCACAAATGAGCTGATGGTACGGATCGTGCTTGCGGGGCAGATCGGTTAGTGGCAGTCACAATAACAATAAAAAATGGCACGGGCACTTTTTGACAGACGAGGAATGAAAAGTAGTGATCAGTTTTCTGAAAGGTCAGTTAATTGAGGTCACTAAAAATTCCACTATGTATTCACCTCTCTATATAGTGTTTAAAGGATTTAGGGTTTAGGGCAGACATTAGAACACAGGTTCTAATGTCAAGGAGGGGCTACTCCTTAGGAAGCAGAGTTCATGAGGAATACTCAGACATAATTGAATCAAGGGAAATACCACTTTGTGCATGATTTTGATGAAGGAATAGCATTATAAAGTAGTTTTAAGATGCATTTGAAAAGTGTGGTTTAGTTTATGACTCATTTAGTTGTGTAATGTAATATGTATTTTCACATGAATTACACCCTTCACCAAATGCAGTAAATCAAACATGACAAATGCACTTTTTTTGCATATTGCACTGATCGTAAAAATGTCCTTAATTCTGTATCACCAAATAGTCAATTTACCACTGCCGGATGAAGGCAAGTGCTCACTGCAGGGTTTTCTCTTGTTTTCTGGTGTTTTAGAGATTGCATTCATTAATGCTTCCTGCTCAGCCAGAAAGCTCACCCAGTGCTTACAAATGCATGCTTTTCAGATGAAGCATGAGTTGTTTATCTATGGAGTTTCATCTAAAAATAAATCTATTTTTGCATATTTTTACTGGTTCTACGAATGCATTAAGTCATAAATCACAAAAAGAAACCAAGCCAATGAAATGTTTCTTTTTTGCTTTAAATAACTTCTAAATAATTTATTGGGGAAAATATAAATTTCAGACATCAAAAGTATGTTTTATAATAACACAGTGTCTTACACGGCTTGTTGATTGGCAAGTTTTTAGGTGAGTTCCATGTACAGTATTTGCAAGTTCTTGATCAATGAACAGTGAAGTGATGATGATGAATGATTATTTTCTAAACATAGGTCACAGAGCTTTAAGCACTGATTATCCAGGTGTACATTCCTGTCTGTATTGCTTCAGTAACTGAACAGTTTTACTCCCACCATGGCGCCTCCTAACACCTCTCACAGCGGTGTTCCTTTTAATGTGTTCACTTTTGAGCAATATTTGCATGGCTAAGATTCACACCATCTGTTAGCTTCTATGCATACCTTTATCTTTTCATGCATTTCAGTTTGTGTTGAGGCAGTCAAGAAAAGATAAACAAAGACCCTGTACTGTAGTATGTTCTTGTTGGCGATATTAGTTCCCTCCTCAGGTTATCAAATAACCTCTAGATAAAGAAAACAATAGCTAAGTAATAGAGGCAGTTATAAAATGTTTGTTTGTTCTACTGGAAATAAATCCCCTTTCTAATTTTATTTGAGCTCAATATTAATTTAGGGACTAATGAGCACCAGACTTAAACATTTTTACCAGCAAAATCCCTTTAGAAAAACCATGGCAACCTTTAGGTTTAAAAACCACCCTGCTGCAGTTTATAGGTCTTTTTATATTGTAATATCAGTGCCTCTAATTAAAGTATCCTTAGAGACATATTGTATTTTGTCATTTTGTGTACACAAATGTAAACAAAAATAAGTTTCGATAAGAACAGTCCTCCAGACAAATTTCCTTTTTTTTAAAGTGCAGCCTTAGAAACTGTAAAAAATACATAAAAACAGTAATATAAATATATGACTGTATATTTACAGTTCTAACGTTTCAGTGTTTTTTTTTCTAAAAAAATATTAATTGCTGAAGTCCATTTATCCTAATTGCATCAGTAAAAATTAAGCATGCCGTTGTGTATAAATTGTTTCATCAGTCGGTGTGGTATGTCATAAGATCTCTCATTTTTTTTAGCCTTAATGATTTGATATCAGGGCTTCTCACTGGACCAGTGGGTAGCACTTCTGCCTTGCAGCAAGAAGGTTTTTGTTTCAATTCCCGGCCCGGGGTCTTTCTGCATGGAGTTTCCACGTTCTCCCTGTGCATGCGTAGGGTCTCTCTGGGTACTTCAGCTTCCTCCCATAGTCCAAAAACATGATGTTAGGTTAATTAGCTTCTCTAAATTCTCATTAGGTGTGAATGTGTGCGTGAAATGTTGTATATCCTGTTTGTCTCTGTGTAACCCTACAATGGCCTGGCGACCTGTACAGGGTGCACCCCGCCTCTCGTATGTTGACAGCTGGAGCACCACTTGCAACCCCAGCAGGAATGAAGCATGACAAGCAAGATATACATACAATAAAAAGTAATGACCCTATCTATCTATCTATCTATCTATCTATCTATCTATCTATCTATCTATCTATCTATCTATCTATCTATCTATCTATCTATCTATCTATCTATCTANCTTCCCTCATTCGTGAACAAGATCCCAAGATACTTAAACTCCTCCACTTGGGGCAGGACACCCCCCCTGACCCGGAGAAGGCACTCTACCCTTTTCCGGCTCAAGACCATGGCCTCGGATTTGGAGGCACTGATCCCCATCCCGGCCGCTTCACACTCGG